ACATATTTCGACATTACCTTTAAACGCAGCCTGCTGTAAAGCCGACAAATCCTATAAAATTCATTACTACTTTATCATAAAGTCAGCATATTATTAACATAAACGTCTGAATTTAAACAGCCTATACAATACTATTTTCATTGCCAGTTTCTATTATATATATATATATATTTTGTAGACAATCATGCAACAGTTGCGCCTATGTGATCGGTCAGTCTGCTGTTTCGCGTTACCACTCACGTCAAGGCAAAACTGGAGCCCTTAGATGCAAACCACAGCACTTTTTCATCCCTCTCTGCACCTCTTTAACTGACAGAATATCTCAGAATTGTGATGACCGCTGTATAAATAGCTTTGCAACACATTAGCACCGGTTACTACGTCATAGAAGGAAATATTTCTCTCCCAAAACAAATCTGACTGTCCCTTCCTCGCACCTCCCGCCGCACGTTTTACGCTCGCATGGTCGACATCTGCCTTGTTTCGGCGCAAGTACAGGGCCAAAATATTCCTTAAGTCAAACTAATAAAACAACTGTCAATTATCGGTATCGCCACTTTACTCGGGTGCTATTTCTACAAATGATAAACCGCTAAGCACTGCATCGATGACTGGAACTTTCGCTTTTTCTGCGAAATACTTCAGTGATTTTCTTCTCTTCTCTTCCAATGATCACAGTATAGCAAAAAGCTGGACGATATTTTGTTCAACTCATCCGTAAATAAAATTTTATTCCGAAATATCTCTGATTATTCACTGAAATCTGTCCAGCCTCACTGCCTACCATTTAGAGTGGCTATCTGCACCCTATACATTAGTGATGACAATCGCTTTGAGCCTCTGACACGTGCAACACGTCTCTACCCTGTGCTGTTCGCTGCATTCTCAAAATTTTAACGCCTTAGCCATAAGGTGCCGATCACTATATCGCAGAAGGTAGTTCCTCTCCGAACAGAGACTTTTCACTATCTTGTTCAACTACGTTGCACTGGGGCCTCCTGGTCGACGGCTGTCATCTTAAAGATCCTGAGATACTTACGAATTACAGTAATCGTTTTATGTTGAAACAATTGTTGTAGAAGATATCGAAGCTGAAGATATCTGTGCCCGGAAATGGACACAATCACTCTTAACGTGATTCTTCAATTAAATTCTGGCCATATGCGAAAAAAGCGCTGTTGTATGCTGTTTCACGTTAATGGTCTTTGTCTAAAACTACTGTCTCTAAACCGCACAGCAACAGTGACCTGACCGAAGAGAGGGAGAGGCGGATTTTTGTGGAAAAAGGCACTCCCCTCTTAGCTAAGTTTCATGAACAGCACCGTTCATAGTTATACTTTTTCAAGAGACCCCGTTTCGATACATCACCCAAGAATGACTAAATCACTGAAGTAGCACCTAACGCGAAATGGTTGTCATGATATTTAACCTGTCATTTTCATCGTACTGAGTTGTAATCATTTACTTACCTGAAAGGGGTGAAAACCGAGTGGCTTGACAAAAATTCTAACACACGATATACCGACTGACTTGTCCTGATCATAATTAATTAAAATGATGTTCGGATGAGACCAGATTTGCCAGAATAACCGTTTGAAACACGTGACAGCAGGTATGCTTCTCGTAATTACGTAAATCGTTGTTCCCTCCCCATACTTACATCCTTGTAACAGTCTGCCTTAACTTTCTCGGTGTCGAGTAAGTCCTGAACCGCGGCGATGTCGTCTATAAATTTCTGCATTATTACAGAACTTTACGGGTTACAAATATATCCAAAAGGCAGCCAAGCATACTTACTTTTATCAATGGACTCAAAAAGCTTCGTCTTCGGATCTTCGGCCTGTTCTTCCATTGCAGCAGCGGGAAGACAACTTCGATTTTATCAACGTAGTTTTGAGACAGCCATTGAATTATTCTTCTTCTAGTACTTAACAAAATACCGTTAATAAATATAAACAAAAATTTATTCAAAGCAGTGAATGTGACAGGAAATAACAGGTAACAAAGCAAAACGTCTTGGAAAAGTGTCACAGGAAAGAAGCAGCACGAAACACAGCGCGATATGGGTTGTGGAAAAACGGTACTGTCGTGTCTGGAATAACATAGTAGGTGAGCTTATACACTAGGTGAATAACCGGGACTGTTACAAAGATCTCATAAAACTGTTGCCTTCACTGTGTGAAAGCAACAGCAGAAATTAAAAACAAATGCTTACTCAAACCATCTTTATTTATAAACCTACACTGTTGAACAACCAAATTACAGCTATTATCACTGCAATAGATGGAAGCATGCGGTATTACATCTAAGGTGAATTTCCGTTCCTAGCTGTTTAGACATTGCTCAGTCCTTCACAGCACAGCTACCAATTCAGACAATAAGATAAGAGGCCCATCAGAAAATGAGTATTTCGTTCGTGCGTTTGTGATCATACTAAGAATCAGCATAAAACAGTCTTCGCAAACACATGACCAATCGGATGACTGATCAGCATCAAAATGTTTTAATTATCTAAGTGAAATCCAGGTCATCTGGAAATTTCTTTCAAACAATCAATGCCTCAATGACGAAACATTTTCACAAGAATGGTCATAGGAAAATTACTCATTATCTGTAGTAAAACTAAAGAATGTTCATCTCTGCCAAAAATCATTCTGCCAATAACGTAACAGCTAGCCTCCGAAGAGTGCACCGGCATCATGTAAAAACGACACTGGCCGAACAAGTTCGACAGGGTGGCTCGAACAATCCAGTTCTGCCACAAAGTCAACCGTGACAAAGGATATGAACTCA